TCTCTGTGCTCCTCTTGCCGGCTTCCTTTGCTCCCAGCTGCCAGCACTTGTACCTCTTCATCTGGGAATTGCTCCTGAGCTGCTGGAGGGGCTGTGTCTTTGGTGCACAGAGCTGGGAGCCCCTGTGTGATCCTTGGCCAACAGTGGACAGGAGGGCGCCTCACAGCCCAGCACCTCAGCCACATGGAGAAACTCCGAGGCAGCCCTTCCATTCCAGAGCTCCTGCGCGGGCTCAGCCTGAAGCACGACCCTTGGGACTCTGCTTCAGCTGCAGTCCTGCTGCTCTTATGTATGCCCCTCCCTCAGCCCTTCCCCTTCATGAGTGATTCCCACCCCACTCCTCGTGATAGCATCTACCTCTGTCCTGAAAACATGTGGACGATTATGGCATCAGACAACAAGAAAGGATGGGAAGACTAGGGAAGGGAATATAACTGGAGGCATGAATGCGATCAGAATACATTGTACACACTGAACCTCCCCCAAAAACATAAGACTGGGAGAGCAGGGATGACCAGGAAATGAATAAAGCATGTTATGGGCATGTACAGATCTGCAAAAATGAAAGCCATTAATATCCAAGACCTCTGCAGTGAGCCCCAATCTCCTTACAGGTGTTAGGGTACACTGCAAAAAGGAAAAAAGAGCAAGGGACAAAATGGCAGTGCAGCAGAGAGCTGGGATGACCAGTTGTTCAGGAGGAGCAAACAGCCACAAGGCATTCAGAGCTTTGGCATTTAATGATTGAGAATGTGATTTCAGAGGGGATTATCAGATGCCTCAGAGGGTGGAGGTGGCCTTATGCTAGGAAGGGTCTTGCCCTGGAGGGTCTTTAGTCTTAACAGTTGTATTAGACTTAGTCTCAGTAGGTGGCAGAGGATGGCCCACCCGTAAAGAAATAGTGATAGTGAGAAATCTCAAAAGAGTGATACCAATAATCCCAAGCCTTTGTTTATCTTTCAGGGAAGTATGCAAAACTAGCTATTGTGACATTGTAGTCCCCAAGACGTTAATCTGTGTGCCAATATGCAGTAATGAAGAAGTGGGGCAACAGCAGGGTAAACAGTAAGTGATTTAATTCTCACAGCACTGTAAAGACAGTTAGTGCCTTTATTTCTTGGAGAAGGACACTTACTTGAATAAGTGAAAAGGGACGTCCTATGTCCCTTGTAGTCACAACAGTGTCATGGCTTGGTCTAATTTCCTGCCCTCTTTGCCAACTTAATAACATCTTATTAAACATTGCTGTGGGCTTTGGGAAGGCTCAACCGCCGTCTTAGGATAGCCTACAAGAATAAAGCCTCATTTGGGAGCGCACATAAAGCCGCCACGGATGGCATGCAGCAATTTCATGTTGAATCTTAAAAGACGATTTAAATAAGAAGTTATAAGGGAAGTTGTACAGGGAGAGTTTTAAGAACGCTACCAGGATGAGGAGAGAAATGCTTGTGGTGTGCTCTCTACTCCACCCCCGGCCAGAGCATCACTTGAGATGGATGATGTGGAGATGCGGGCCTTGGAGACCTGCCGATCTGGGCTTGAGTCCCAGTTTCTCCACTGACCAGCTTCAGGGCCCGCGGGTGGATAATCATTCTCAGCTGTGTTTCTCTCATCTGCGTAATGGACACTGTCACATCTATTTTGTAGGGTTACATTCAGACCAAACAAGAAAATAAAGACATGTACATAAAGTTCATAGTGCAGTGCCTGGCGCACAGTAAACACTGACTTGAGCTGTTTTGTTTTGTTTGGCTTTTCGTGGAATCGGTGCCTAACACATATGATGTGGGGTCACACTGTCATTGATTCTAGAAACAAAACTTGACTTTTGTTCCTGCAGACTCCGAGAGTGCTGTGAACAGCGGGTGTGTGGCCCCTACTCCAGAGCAGCAGCTCTGCTTAAGGGCTGACCTTCCAACCCAGATACCTATTTGCTGTTTCCCTGACAACTTCTGGAATGAGCCAGACTTGCGGCAACTTCACATTTGTCCAGGAGCGGTTATAGGTGTAAAATGGAACTCTGTCTCCTGAATGATCTGTTCCCTAGCCGAACATCCTGAACATTTTCCCAGATCATTTTATAATGATGATACAAACTTGCTTTTCCCCATAGATCTTAGTGTTTTGGGATTGCTGTAGACTCACATGCAGTTGTACGAATTCCGAGATCCCATAGTCTTCAGCCAACGGCAACATCCGTAAGCCTCTGATTGTAAGCAGACTTTTTCAATAAGTATGCTTACTTACTCTGGCTTACGAACGAAAGTGAAATATCTTCTTTATTTTAGTGAGATTCAGGATTATAAGACCAAGTCTCTTCCTTCAAGGATCTAGAAATTTAACCAGAACTCCAATTTGGGGGATGAGGAACCCTGAGTCAAATAAAGAAATTCTATATGCACTTGCCTTGTTTTGTCCTGGAATTAAAACTAAGATTTTTGAAAATAATACACAGATACAAAAGCCTTCCTTATTTCTC